TTCAGTTAATGCAGAAATTTAACAGATTTTTTTTTAATAATAGTGAGAAAAGGCTGTTTTCGAGCAAGGATCTGAAAGGACAGAAAGGACCCTTTCTTTGAAGATATGTTTTTTCCCTCTGCCTCTACCTCCTTGGGGACATAACTAGAGAAGAAATAAATTTCACAGCTAATATATATGAAGTAACATGTTTAACATTATCCAATGAATTTATATCTACCTACACCATATAAATTTATCTCACATAAACTGTCACCTCCAACAGAATTCATTAAAACAATGTTATAGCTTCTGAATTAAATGCAACCTTCTAATTGGAATTTCATCTTACAATAGTAGTGGATTTTCTTTTTTAATTGACAAAGGGAATAATTCATTAGTTTGTCTTACAGTTCTGTCTGAAAAACTGAAAAGTAAATTTGACACAGGTGTTGGCTGGCCACTGCTGTGAAGTACGGAGAGATGGGGGTGGGATGGGGACTGGACGTTCCTTCATCAACCTCAGAACTCGTTGTGCTGCTTATGGGCAGGGAAAGGATGGACACTCTCGCTCTCACCATCCTGAATGACTACACTACTAATATATTCCATGACCTCCACGTAAATGTCATGTTAATTTCTGATCTTCATCAAGCCAGACAATGGTTTCCACCTTGGCCCCTAGCCAATTAGCTGTGTGGAAAATATTCAGCCAATTACATTACCTCTATTAGGTTAGCGACTGGAGAGAAAGGCAAAATAAACACCTCGAAAATACTTCGGAGATAAAATGTAAGTTGACACTGTCTTCGCATGCTGGAGCCCAAGTTATACAATCTGATAGGCAGCTGCCAGCACTCATAACTGCTTATTAAATCTAGCCACTCTTTATGTCGTGAGTGAAGATCTGTATTTTTACCAATATTAGGTTCATTGTGTTATGAAAGAGACCAAAATACTTAAGATCATTCGCTCCAGCTTATAAAACATATTATGTAGTTTATTAAATTGCTAAAATTACTTTTCAAACTCAAAATTTCAGGGCCTGGAAGTTTAAACACAACAAAGTGGCTTTGCCCACTGACAGGTTCCAGCACAACGCGGCTCAGAAGGGGAGCCCATCAGACAGCTTTCCTGTCCCAAAACACCTGCTACCTGCCCCCACCTCTTCCTGGAAGCTGCACCACCACCACCACCGCACCCCAAAACCGATGAAAAAAATACACATTCTCAAGTTTTATACAAAAGCAAGGAACTCCCAGCCAAAACATAGCCCATTCTCAAGTCTTAAGTGAGAAGAATTATTTCCCGTGTTTTTCCTTCATCCAAATAGCTTATAACTAGGAATGTCATTATGAGAGAGATCAAATAAGCAACTGTAGGCAAGTAAGGAAAAACAACTGGCGGCAGAACAATGTCACCTAGTGCTACATTCTTACACCAGATCCCCCAGCAAAACACAATTTACTACTAGAGAGTGGGCAATGCCAAGGCACAGGCTGAATAACAAGCCAGCAATTCACCACCTCTACTCAACTCTTCTCAGGAAAACTCTATGCAAATCCAGACTGTTATTATCACATTTATTAATAACACTGTGGCTAACTGCCTATTAAATATGCAGCAGACTGAGCCACTCTTCACTCGTGGAGTCTCGTGATGTGCCTCAGATAGGTATCCATATCAACTTCAGCTTCACGCCAGAGAAACAGGAGCCAACTCGTTCCCTGCTGGTGAATGGTGGCATTAAAGAACTACATCACAAAGAGAGACCTCAAGCACTCAGCGTTCCTTTTCTCTATCTTGCACCTAAGGTAATGTATTATGCAGGCATGGTTATCACCGGCATAACATGAGTACACTGCCCATTTTGTTACCTTAAACGTTTGCTGTAATGATCTCTTTGCACAAACCTTTTCTCAGATGGTTTCACTGCCTTGCATGTGAGTAGCAATTTGTTGTTCTGGCTGCCTATGCCTGTGACTGTGACCCTGTTCTACCATGAGGACATTTACCATGAAACACTGCACTCAGAACTGGAGTTTATTTTGAGCCTAAAGACTCCAAATTATGAGCAGTTAACAATGAATTGTGCTTCTTTTGGTTACTCAATAAATTGTAATGTCCTAAAAAGCCACAGGACAGTGGATACATTTTTGACAGTGAAAGGACTATCAGATACAGAGTGCCTGCAAAGCCAGGTTACTGCATCACGGAGGAAAAGAATTAGTCTTTTGGAAAACCTTGGAGGTGGGCTTTGACAAAGAATAGAAGGACAGAAAATCGGAACACGTGCCCCAGCTCATCAGATTTCAGGTACTTCTATTTTCTACTAAAAACACAGTGAAGGGCACTTTATCACAATCTGATAAATATAAAGCACTTCCTTAATAAAAAAAAAAAAACTGGTATTCAATTTTATCAATTCAGAAGAGAGATCATTTTCATTATAGTTCTTCAGAATGATTTTTCAAATACCAGGTCTCACCCAATGAAATTAATCAATAAAATGAACCCAGTCTTCAATCCATTCATGTGGTTTTGTTTAATTTCATACATCAATTTTATGATAGTGAGATTGAGTCACTTTCCCAATACTGACGACAGAGATGACAGGTATTCTCAAACCTGAGTTTGTTACTATTTCAGTGCCTTCAGAATTCCAACCACTTCTATGAATTCTCATGTGTGTATGAGACAGACCCCGGCTTTGGTCTCAACTCTACCTGGATCCTAAAAGATACAATTTTTCATAATGCATGCTATCTGCTCACTAGTCTGCAGACCATCCACAGAAGTCTATCATAGCTATTTAGCAGTGGAAAGCCCTCAGAGGAACTTCATAGGTGAGAAATCAAAGGACTTCCCCAAGACCACCCAGGAAGATGATGGAGGACCTTTATCTGCTCTAAATTCCATGACTCCACTAACCATTTCTCCTCACTGTGGACACTCTTGCCTTATGTGTTCCCATTTACAGTTGGCCTTATTTCTTGCCAATTAAAGAAGGAATGTCAGGAAGGTAAAAGACTGTTTTTCCTCAATCTGAAACTCCAGCAGAATACAGTACCAAACTAGCCTACGTGGAAGTGAATTTTAGAGCTCCCAGGCTCTTTGAGGATCACCTGGTCAATAATAATTGCCTTAGTTACTTCATTAGGGCTTTTTTTTTTAATCGGTGAACTGAGAAGGAGGTCACATTGATCTCTAACTGTAAAATCTTTTACTATCTGTCCCAAATAACTAAATGTATAACAATGTCTTAAGGAGACACTTGTCAGAGAAATTTTACTCAACTGGCTAGATGTCTCAACCTCTATACCAGAGATAGACAAGAAAAAAATCACTGAGGACAAAAATCGTTGAGGACAAAAGGAAGTAGGCTCCAGTTCTGACCAAGCCCAGGGATTTAGACAGCTCAATTAGACTCTAAGGGCTTCAGCTATTCCATCTATAAAATGAGGGCTTTTTGGGGCACCTGGGTGGCTCAGTCGGTTGAACATGTGACTTTGGCTCAGGTCATGATCTCACAGTTCCTGAGTTTGAGCTCCGCGTCGGGCTCTGTGCTGACAGCTTGGAGCCTGCAGCCTGCTTTGGATTCTGTGTCTCCCTCTGTCTCTGCCCCTCCCCTCCTCGTGCTCTCTCTCTCTCCCTCTCTCAAAAATAAACAAGCATTAAAAATTAATGTTAAATGAGGGCATTTAAATTGACATCTTCTAAGGCCTTGGTAGCACTGCCAAATAGGATGCTCTAACCTATGTGCTTTATTTTAAATGTAGAAAATCAGGGGTACCTGGGTGGCTCAATCAGGTAAGCGTATAACTCTTGATTTAGGTTCAGGTCATGGTCTCATGTTTGTGGAATCGAGCCCCACTTCAGGCTATGCACTGATCATGGGAACTGCTTGCCATTCCTTTCTCTTTGCCTCTCCCCCCTCTCAAAACTAAATAAATAAACTTAAAAATAAATAAGTAAGTAAGTAAGTAAATATAGAAAGTCACAATAGAGACTAACCTGTCCCATATCAGATAACTATTAGGTCTCCCAATTTCCAATAAAATTCTCTTTCTCCTTCACTACACTTCCCTCCATTAAAAAGAACCTGTTTCAAACACAGTCACACTAAGACAAACAAGATGGAGTTTACACCAATGGTTCTTATCACTAAATCACTGAATACAAAACTTGAGATGAGATGGTTCCCCATAAAGGTGACCTCTTCCTATGACAAAGCTACCAGTGAATGATGTCAGTTGTTATCCACAACACCTGGCCTCAACCAATTATTTTCTCTGTAAAGGCAAGTCACAATTGTTCCTTCGTTACTATAAAAGAGCCACTGGTTGCTCAGGAACATGGTACAGTCCATCAAATACAGAAAAAACATATAAGAGGAAACGATCATCATGTCTCTTCTGACCTCCCTTAAAAACTACAATTAGTATCTTAGTGAGGTGAACAATGATTGAAAAAAATGCTCATCTTTCTGAATATCTTTGAGAGTCCAGTATCTTTCTTAAGAGCCCTTAGCATGTGGAAAGCTTGGGATGAGACCTTCCTAATGAACAAATCAGCCTTAAATTTCCTCTAAAACCCAAGATGAGGTCATTATACTTTTATACCACGGTGGCTCCTTTTTTTGCTGAGTTATGATAGGACCAAAAAAGTAATTATTCTTTTAATTATGCATGTGGTTCATAATTTAGATAGCCCACCCTTCACAGTATGAACACACACACACACACACACACACACACACACACACACACACACAAGTTCTCCTGTGTCCTGTTATGACTTTGATAAATCCTCAGATCACTGCAGGGGTTATTCAAGAGGGCTACAGCAGAAAAAAATATCAGAGTTGCTCCCTTCTTTCAAAATGAGAATCTCTCACCCTCAGTATGCAATTGTTATGATGAACTTAGGACTTCTATCAATTTCCTGCACTGTGTGTGACCCCTGCGGCCACTTTTTTGTCTTGTGAATTTTCACACAAATAATCATAAAAGTTCACTTACCCTTTCGGCCAGCAAGCATCACATCCACCCGTTCATGGTTGGCAGCAAATCAGAGAAGGGCTGGAAGCCTTCACCATTGCCCAAATGTTCCGTCTGGAAACTGGAATTGTCAGCAAAAGGTCCTGGGACACTGCAATACAAAAATATTTTTTACACATAACTAAGATGTAGCTTCTAAAACCACCACTTCCTTAAACTTAAAAACAGCAAGGCAGACATAGAATCTAGAGGTAGGGGAAAACACCTTTAAAATGAGGGTAGATCAATATATCAAATGTGATGTTGTAAAATATGAACCGGAAATACTGTTGTGAAAGATACATTTACCCATTACTTCAACACATACACTGAAATGTTTTGTTTATCCTAGATTCGGTGCAAAATATTTTACATATTTTAGCATTACAAAAATATCATGTCCCATTATAGAGTGCTTAGCTAACAATAAGGTGTTTTAACTCAAATATTACATGGATAAGTGTGCCATTTCCTGTTAAGTAATTATCTTTCCTAGAGGATGAAAAAACATGAAAATTTAAATAGTGATAATTTTTAAAAAATCTAATGTTTATTTATTTTTGAGAGACAGACAGAGCATGAGTAGGGGAGGGGCAGAGAAAGAGGGAGACACACAATCCAAAGCAGGCTCCACCAGGCTCTGAGCTGTCAGCACAGAGCCTGATGCGGGGCTCGAACTCATCAACTGTGAGATCGTGACCTGAGCCAAAGTCGGACGCTCAACCGAATGAACCACCTAGCACCCCCCCCCCGCTTTTTTTAAAATTATTTTTAAATAATCATGAACACTTCTCCTCCAAAATAATTTTTTAAATGCACAGGAGTTACTGAAGGAGCAAACCTCTGGGAGGTATCTCCATCAAGACAGAACGTACTATGTAATATACAGGCCTCAAAGTGGAGAAGCCTGAATTCTGAACCTAATAATTGTCGCCCGTTGTGTGGCCCCAGGAAACCCATTTACTATCTCAGGATGCCAGCTTCCTCATGTGCAAAGATCGGGGCAGTAACTGATGCTCCCCAAGTCCCTTCTACTGCTTAGCTTTCTTGGGTTTTTTTGTTTTGTTTTGTTTTGTTTTAATAAAGTATATTTATTCTGAACAAGCTAAGCTATTAGCTTCTCCTTTCAGATTCCTGATTAAAAAGAGTTGTATTGCGTATCACTGTTACATCGATCTGCCATCAACACTGAAGATGTGCTACAGGCAGAGAGGGCTTTCTTCGCACATGCACAGAATTCTCACCCTGGCACTAGTGCCCAGCCCTGGTGAGCTGCCACCCTGGGTGGCTGACAGCATCCCCTGGGTGCCCATGGAAGGCTTCCATTTCTCTCCAGGGAGTACAGTTCCAACTACGAGGGAAATCTGCCAAATGTATTACACATGACTGTTTCTCGAACTTTTGCGTGTATAAGCATAACTTGGAGTCACACAGCAAAAAGAGATGGGCTGAGGTTGTTTGCCATCGTTAGGATAAAAACCAAACATCCTTCTGTGGCCTACAAGGCCCTGCAAATTGGTCACTTCCTACTTCTCTGACACCTCCAGCCACCAACCCAAGCTTCAGCTACAACACAGGTACAGGGGCCTTCCTTCCACCCCAAGCAAGCTATGTTCTTCCACCTCAGGACTGGAGCCCTTGCTTTTCTATGCTGAATGCCATGCCATGAGCCTACTACACAAGTGGCTTTCTCTGGATCACTGGATCTTAGGGGCAAAGGCCGCTGCAAGAAGGCTGTCCTGCCTACCTACATAGGCTAGATCCCCAGCGACTCTCAGTGATATCACTCTATTCGCTTTCTCCAGAGCTTCCGTCATAACCTAGAAACTTTTTTCTCATGTATTTGCTTGTTGTTCCCGCTTGAATATGAGCTCCACAAGATAAGGGAGCATCTCTGCTCTATTTATCGCTGTACTTCAAAACTTCAGAAAAACGCCTGGCTCACAGCAGGCATTCAATACAGATTTACCAGCTCAACAAATGAATCAACCATCGAAAGAAGTCATTCTTCAGCATCCTACAAAAATATAAGGGCTATTGACCGGAAACTCACTATGTGCTGGATATTGTTTTAAGTGTTTGACAACAATTATTGCATCTATTTCTATTCTTACAACAAAGTTCCCGGTGGACAATGTTATAATCTTAACCCGCAGATAAGAAGACTGAGGCAGAGTCTTAGTAACTTGCCCAACATCACACTGTGTCAGGGGCTTGACTCTACGAAGTGCACTCACACAAGAACTCTGTATTTTCCAGCCAATACATTAATACAAACAATTTGAGCGCCTGCCTTGCACGAGACACTCTTCTGACTCAAGCTTGCTGCAAGGTCTTGTAGAGGATCCTTAGCCCTTCTGACCCTGAGCTTCCTGCTTCACACAGGGAAAGCTACCGTACCCCACAGAGACCAGGCAGACGAGACAAGAGAGCAAAATAGGCCAGGTGTGTAAGGTACAGGGAGCTATGGGGAAGGTAGCAACCTGGAAGACGAGCAGTTTTTCAGCTAGAGGGCAGCTGGTGCACACCAAAGCCAATTATTGCCACAAAGAAACATAAGCCCAGGGCTTCAAGAACTTCCACGAGTGCAAACAAAGGCAGGAATCATTACCATTTTGTGAAATTTCAGGATTTTTCAAAGATAGTAGCTAATCTTTTAACAGCATGAGAGAAATAAAGAAGAAAGAAAATGAAAGAAAATGAAAGAAAAAGAAGAGAGAAAGAAAATGAAAGAAAAAGAAGAGAGAAAGAAGAGAGAAAGAAGAGAGAAAGGGAAGGGAAGGGAAGGGAAGGGAAGGGAAGGGAAGGGAAGGGAAGGGAATGGCAGGTGACTGCTGAGGTCATTCCATGTCAGTAATTCTAGAGAAATTCAGCAGCACAGAGAAGCTGTACAAGCGAACACAAAACAACAAAGTAGGTGTCTGGGTAGATGAAAGCTTTCTAGAGGAATTATCGTGCACAAGTTTTAGAAGGAAAAGGAAGGTGAGGTGGGAAAGGCATGCCACAAAACCAAAGTAGCATATTCAGAGGCTTGGAGGTGGGTAGGAGGAGACCGTCACCCTCAAAAGCAGCACGGGGGGTGGGGTGGAAGGGGGGGTGGAAGAGTTCATGTAGCTTTCCTCTTCATTCATGCTCGGAAAAGCTGCAGGTTTCCAGCTAAGACGCAGTGCTCTGAGGGTCTGACGGTTAGTGTTGTCCTGCTTGATTTCCTAAACCATTCAAGTTACCCCGCATATATGAGAATAAAAACCATGCACCACTACGGTTTGTTTGTATACGTTTTAAGAGTCCAAAAGCCCCAGAACTGAATTTCATCTCCACCAAGCTCTATAATTCTAACCAAAATTCTGAACGCCAGAAATTAAAAAGGACAGCCATTGAAATAAAAAAAAAAAAAGTTAAAAATTTAAGCAACAACAACAACAACCAAAAACAGAAGCAAAGACAGACATCCAAATAAATCACCCAGAAAAGTGCCTAGAGGCAAAAACTGTCTACCTAGAATTATATAGCCAGAAAAAAAATTTCTTTGAAAAATGAGGATAAAATAAAGATCTTTTCAGACAAACAGAAGTTCACCATCTCTCTAGAAGGACATTCAGACAAAGAGAAGTTCACCATCTCTCTAGAAGGACATTCACAAAGAGGTATATCATTTAGGCCAAAAGAAAATGATTTTGGGAAGAAGGTTCTCTGACTTAGTTAGAAAGAGGGAGCCAAAATAACAAACTTATGAGTCAATGAAAAGGAAATCCATCAGGGTGACTGGGTGGCTCAGTCCATTAAGCGTCGGACTCTTGATTTTGGCTCAGGTCATGATCTCACGGATTCGTGAGTTTGAGCCCCACACAGGGAGCCTGCTTGGGATTTTTCTCTCTCCCTCTCTCTCTGCCCCCCCTCCCCCCCCCTTACACACACAGACTCTCCCTCTCTTTCTCTCAAAATAAATAAACTTGAAAAAAAAAGTTAAGTGCATCAAAATGATGTGCATGTCTCAAAAATAAAAACTTCTTAAAATAAATTCAAAAGTCTGGCAACAGATCACAGGCTCCCTACCCCAGCTCACGTATTTACACTGTGGCGGTATCGATCACCAAGGCCTTGTTCTGCAAACCTGAGTGTGCAACTGGGGCACCAGCTTGAAATGCATACTCCTGCCCCCACCCCCGACCTCCAGTCCAGAGATTCAGGTCCCAGGAATCTACATTTCGACTAGACACCCAGGTAATTCTGATGAAGATGGGTCCCTGCACTTTGAGGGGCATGCAATGCTCTCCACCACTTTAGGGTCCAGAATTCAGCCAGCAGGGGGCTGAGCCCGAGGCTGATACACCAAAAGGACTTTGTAGCCTTCCTCTTCCTTAGGGCCCGGGAGAGAGCACCTTGAGGGGGTTTGGGGGGGGGGGGGGGGTGGGCAGCAACCCTGTCTCAACCCTACCAATCAGGAGCTGCAATAAATTAAAAGCCCATTAACTTATTTTAGAGAAAAGCCTAGAAGAGCTGAAACATTAATCGTGCCATATTCAATCTGTTTTCCTAGAGATCTGAAAAGCCAGATTGTCATCTTGGGGGTCATCAGAAGGAACAAAGCCTTCTCCCCTTCAATTTCCATATTTAAAATTGCATATATTCTTGCAAGGGCCACCACCCAGACTTTCCAGGTCCCGTGGCCCCTCCACAGTCTGACCGCAGAGAAAGAAGCCTGGGATGCCGTGGGGTCTTGCCTTGTTTTTTTTGCTTTTTGTTTTTTTTTCTTTTGTAAGGAACCAAAGCCCAGGGCCTGTGGTTGCAAAACAGCTCCAGGAAAACAGGTAGAGGCAGCCACAAAACAACCGTCATGTTTACTTGTTTTGTTCTCCCCTGTTTATTTTTCCCTGAAGCAATCCTTCCTCAGTACAAAAGTCTGCGGGGAGCTGGAGAGAGCAGCTGTGGTTCCCTGAGGCCAAGACCTAGCAATCAAGTTGTTTACCAAACACTGCCAGGCACCGGGAACACAACAACCGCACAGGCTGTATTTGCATCTGTTTTTCAAAAACAACCTCCAAAAGTCTAGGGCTTGGCCTGGTACTTCCTTGTATGGCTGAGGGCAACTTGAAAATTAAAGGCATGAA